CGCATTGAGACGTCCCATTGTGAATTTTTTTTTATATGATATAAAAAATTATTATTTTTTAAATATAAAAATCTATTTATTATATTAAAATAATATTAGAAGTATGAAACGCATTATGACACATATTCTCCGCATTGACACGCTTAAACTTGTGATTCTTGATTCTCGACCTCGACGCATCGCAACGCGTTACGCATTTTAGAACACTGGTTATTAGAACAATATTTTTTTTAATTACCAATTTCATCTGCAATCATTTATAAGTATGTGAGCAATCCCAATGATGATAACCCTTTAGTTTGGTGATGATTGATCTTTTATTTGACCTACATGCATAAGATGGACTATACAAATTTCTCTAAGTAATACAAGGAAAAAAAATAAAATATGTTTTCGGCCAATATTATTGATAAATTAAAAGTTATTTCTACTATTCAGCGTACGTTAAATTTTAATTTCAACTAAACTTTAAAAACTACTAATTATTATTCACATATTTTGTGATTCTTACCACTACTCTTTTTAAAAAGTACAAAAAGTTATTAATAATGAAATCCGAACAAATGCAATTCTATCTCATTTTGTGAAAAGTTATTAATTCAAATCGTGTACGAGATTGTAATTTTTTGAAGAGACAACTGAAGGACCATTTAGTATAGTCTAGGATGGTGAGAATTAGGGAATTTAATGTTGTAGGAGCGTATGATGATGTTAATAAGAACATCATTTAGTTGGTGATGCCTTGTCAAGAACTTAGAATGGGAATGTAATTATGTAATTAAAACAAAAAAAAAAAATATTACTTATTTTAATAATAAAATAAATTTGTTTGTAAATATACTTGCTTATAAGTAAATTTTAACTTTTAGCCAATCATGCAATACTGCTTTTCCCCAAGAATCGAATCTTACGTGGACGACACGAATGAGAAAAAGAAACAGAGAATTTCAAACCCAAAAGAAAAAGTTCTCTCACACATAAAAGTGATTTTTTTGATAAGTAATTTTTTGAAAAATAATTTTTTTTAAGAATATGTAATTAAAAATAGAGAAAATTAATTGCTATATTGAGAAAATAAATATTTAAAAATAAATTTGAAAAAAAATTAAAATCAAACAAACATAAAATTAGTAGCAGAAAGTACTCCTTTCATTCTCATTCTCTCTCAGCAGCACACTATAAAGAAAGACGAAAGAAAACTTCTGTCCTTGAAACTTCTCTCTACTTTTGAGATCTCTCTCGCAGCCTTTTTTTGCTAGAAAACTTGAATACTATTTAACTCACCTTAATTACTTGTAGCTACACAAATTTGCAATAATTTCTGGGCTATGCATTGAATTCTCACTCTTCTTTTTCTCTGTCTGATTTATTTGTTTAATTTTCTATCAATTCTTGGAAATGAACAAATATTAAACCCCCAGCAGCTACCATTTCTTTCTTTGAATTCGTATTGGCTGAGTAAAAGGTGTGTTATTTCATCATCTGAGATCTGGGTTCGAGAAAGAGACTGATCGAAAGAAGGTATTTGAGAAAGTGAAAGTGGGATTTTTGCTATGAACCCGGGGGTGGTCGGGATGGGGGTTTACTGTTTTCTTTGTCTTATTGAGTATCGTTTCTTGTATTTGTAGATCTGCTGGAATTTTAAGGGTCTTTTTATTGTAAAAAACCAAAGAAAATGTTGCATCAGAAGCAAGCAGAAGAAGCTATTGTCCCTACCTTAAATGAGACTGAACACGGCGGCAAGGAGGAGGAGCAAGTGGAGGAGCAACCAGCTTTCAGTGTCAAGAGCTTCCTCTGGCACGGCGGCTCCGTCTATGATGCTTGGTTCAGTTGTGCTTCAAATCAAGTATATGCATAACCATTTTTTCCTTATCAATTCTGATCATATTAAACATTTCTTGAACTTATTTATTTGATTTTGATCATTTTGTTGCAGGTGGCACAAGTTCTATTGACATTGCCATACTCATTCTCCCAACTGGGAATGCTATCTGGAATTCTGCTTCAAATATTCTATGGCATATTGGGTAGTTGGACAGCCTACCTCATCAGTGTTCTATACGTCGAATATCGAAGTCGAAAGGAGAAAGAAGGTGTTAGCTTCAAGAATCATGTCATTCAGGTTCGTCGATTTGATTTTATCGACTATTTATTTATGAAAATTGTGCACGTCTCTCAGACCGGATGAACCCATTTTAATTAATTCTTTGTCCATTGCAGTGGTTTGAAGTGCTGGATGGATTACTTGGTCCTTATTGGAAAGCTGTAGGTTTAGCCTTCAACTGTACTTTTCTACTATTTGGATCTGTCATCCAACTCATTGCTTGTGCAAGGCAAGTAAAAAAAAAAAGAAAAAAAATTGTATCTTTATTCTTTTAGTTTTTACTTATTTAATGTTAGTCCCAGCTCAATTCGAAAATAACAACGTTAAAGTTTGATTATTACAGTAACATATATTACATAAATGATCGACTGGACAAGAGGACATGGACTTATATATTCGGAGCATGCTGTGCCACTACAGTTTTCATTCCTTCTTTTCACAATTACAGAATTTGGTCTTTTCTTGGCCTCGGAATGACAACATATACGGCTTGGTACTTGACCATAGCAGCCCTTATTCATGGCCAGGTAATAATTTAAGTAACTTTTTTACTTATAAGTAAAAATCGTTACATAGTTATGCTGTTTAGGTCAGTATAGTTTTATTCAGTCCAGTACACGATGTTTTTGACAGGCCGAAGATGTGCAACACTCGGGTCCATCAAAGCTGGTTCTGTACTTCACCGGAGCCACCAATATTCTGTACACCTTCGGTGGACATGCTGTGACTGTGTAAGCCTTTTTCATTCTTCAATTTGATAATTATGTGTTAATATTATCTTGTACACCTCCATTGCTTCCATATGGCTTCTTCTTGGCAGCTTTTGCCGGCCACCTTGGGTTTCTACTAGACAGAATCATAGGAACTCCTTTTTCAATGTTTACCAGAAAAACAACATTAATATTACCCTACCCCACACCCACATCCACACCCACACCCACACCCACACCCATGTAAAAAATTAGTAAAACAATTGGTCAATAGTGTCAAACTAGTGATTAAAAAAGTAAAATAAATAAATAAAAATAAAAGTTAATTCTTTTATAGAAATGATTGAATGGTTTTTGTGGGTGCACAAGTCTAATCCAAAGTTAATGTTTAATAGGTTTCAACGGTTTTTTCACTTGTAAACGGACCGGTTCTTGATTACCGGCTTGTCCAGTCTATTTTTATAGCATTAAACTTATCTTGTTCGTATTATGTTTTATTATCTAGTTCATATTATTTTTATTATACTCTATAAAAAGAGTGGCAGTCGGGCTTGTATGATAAGACTTTTGAAAAGTCAAAAGTTGCTTCTGACTATTCGGAAGTACTGTTTTGATTGGTTTGAAGAGTTTTAAGATGAAACTGGATTAAGGTAGCTTCCTCGAAAAGCTCTTCTACAAAAAGCAGAAGCACGAACTTGCCAAACAGGCGCTTTACATAATATTGAAAGTACGAGGCTGGGGTTATAAAAGGTAATAAATAAATTTTATGGTAACAAGGTTAGGTTAATTTGTAAATGAGATGCAAGCAACATAGAGCTGGTGGAGAAAGCGAAGTTCAGAAAACAACCGGTGGCTGTTGTGTCAAACATTGAACTTTCTCATCAAATAAAAAGAAGCATCACATCTTAAAAGTGTAGTGACTATTATTTGAAAGTAGATGTTCATCAAACAATAATTGCATAACATGACAAAGGAACACTTAACAATTATTCAAATTTCTTGTTTTTTTATGATATATGTTGGTGTTTCTTATCTTAAATTAAATGGCCATATTTCCTTCAATAATTCAATGAATAAATCGACTGTTTGTTTCTCATCATTTGAAAATTTTAACAGGGAAATTATGCATGCAATGTGGAAACCTCAAAAGTTTAAGTACATTTACTTATTGGCCACATTATATGTTTTCACTCTAACCTTGCCATCGGCTTCTGCCGTCTACTGGGCGTTCGGCGATCAGCTCCTTAACCACTCCAATGCCTTCTCCCTCCTCCCAAAAACCGCTTGGAGGGATGCTGCCGTTGTTCTTATGCTTATTCACCAGGTTTGTTAATTATTTTGTGTGACGTAAAAAACATTGTTAACCACTCAACTTGTAGCGAGGTTTGTTTGTTGTTATCAGCCAATGAGTTTGTTTATTCGGTTAAATTTTGTTAATTTTTCTAATGGAATGTCGAATGCTTAAGGAATAATGCTATTTGTCATCACTGTTGACCATCATCATCCCACTTACGTGACAACATAATGACATTAAATGATAGGTCCAATTACATGCAGGGACCCATGTTATTGGACCTTGTCTTCATTGATGACAAATAACATTACTCATCCAAAAGACCTCCGTGCTATGCCACATCAGATTACAGTCTTCCATATCAGATCGATCACTTTGGAACAAAATAACTTCGCTACAAGTTGACTGACTAACAATATTTTTAAACCTTTTGTACGTGTTCTTGAACTACTTAGGCAATGTAAATTGCTTTTATTGTCAAACAAATACTAAATTAATTTTTTTTTTTGGTGGGGTTTGAACAGTTTATTACATTCGGATTTGCATGTACACCATTGTACTTTGTGTGGGAGAAGGTGATAGGAATGCATGACACAAAAAGCATATGTTTGAGGGCACTTGCAAGATTGCCAATAGTGATTCCAATCTGGTTTTTGGCCATTATTTTCCCTTTCTTTGGCCCCATAAACTCTGCAGTTGGGGCACTTTTAGTGAGTTTCACAGTCTACATTATCCCATCTCTTGCTCATATGCTCACATACCGAAAAGCCACTGCTCGTCAGGTAACTTTAATTCCACCCGCGCTTTATATTACAACAATTTTACTGACCTTTATAAGTATCCAGTATAGTACATGATAAAACTTGACAATAGAATATGCACAATATTATCATGTCAACCTCATCAAACATGTCGTACATATACATGTTTATATTGCTGGACTAGATAATACTCAACGCAATAAGAGAGAGAGGTGTGACAGTTTTGGTCGATTGTCGTGTCCAATCTAATGTACTAAGCATGTTGTAAATTAAATGCCATAGAGATCTCATGAAACTTCCCCTAGATTTTAGCTCTATAAATTACTATTTCGAACATGAGTAATTCGTGAATTAGATGATTATGTACAGCTGGTCCATATGGCATGGATGAAGATTTCGGAGGCAAGCCCTTGCCATGTAAACTACTTGTGATTTTTGGCATGTTGGACTTTGCAGAACTTATCAAGAAAACTGAAAAAATCTGTCACGTCTCTCTTCCGTTACTTATATATTTAGTCAAGTGTAACAAACATACTTCTATGCTCATGAAACGTGAAAGTTCACATCTGGCCAAAAATAATGTATCGAATCCTTGAGTTAGATGATTTTGATTAACTTGTAGTTTGTGGTTTCTCGTATATTTCTTTAGAATGTTAGATTGGATTCATATCGATTGAAGCATGACTTGTTTGTGTTGATAATTGCAGAATGCAGCAGAAAAGCCTCCGTTTTTCTTGCCAAGCTGGACAGCCATGTATGCACTGAACATATTTGTGGTAGGTTGGGTTTTCGTGGTTGGATTTGGGTTTGGAGGATGGGCAAGCATGACAAATTTTGTCAGACAAGTCGACACATTCGGGCTCTTTGCTAAATGTTATCAGTGTAAGCCTCCAACGCCCGCACATCAATCCCCGGTAGCTCCCCACCATTAGGGACTTATGTGGCGCCAGTGACGCCACCACTGCTGAGGGGGCCGCCACACTTCTTCAACTCAGTAAAGTGTGAAAATTTTACCGATCAATCGTCCCTCATTCTCTTGCGTTCTCTCCGTAGTTTGTAATATACAAGGGGAGATAACAATATATTCCCCAAAATGTGAGGTGTGTTTTATCTTTTAATTCTCGAATAGTTTTATATTTTTCTTGAAATATTCGATAACATAAGAGTGTTGAGTTATGATGATTCCTTTGCTATCAAAGTATAGGCGTATTTAGTCAATGTAACTATGTAAGAAACTTTCCACCTTTTTTTTTTTGGGAATATAATATTGTAACATACACTTGTTGTGGTTGCTTTTATGTATTATGCCACTGTTTGGTTTATATAAAAATTAAATTTTTAGTAGATTTTGATAAAAATTGATGGAATATGTGATTAAAAAGTTGTAAATTCAATGAAATATGTGATTAAAATAATTATTGATTTTGATTTAAATTTTAATGCAATTTTTTAGCGAAATCAAATAGGGACGTAATGTCATTGTTGTTGGCCATGTTTCTAGTGTACTATATATTCATTTGTACCAAAATAAGATTCTAACTTGACCGTGCCTACTAATTGGAGCCTAGATTATAGGGAAAATTGCATCAGTTGTTCATAACTTTTTCAATTTTTGCAAACTTTATCCTGACCTTTAATTCGTGTTAACGAAGATTCTTAACCTTTCAGAAATACACATTTGGACTCCAAATGGGTGGAAAACATCCACTTTTTCATTAATTGACCAAGAAAATGATTTTGAACATATTTTAATAAGTTTTAAAGGGGTAGAATGATAATTTTACATTTCCATATTATAAAGTAATTTAGGGTATGTTTGAGCAACATTATTTTGGAAAAAATGTATTTTGGAATAGTAGGTTGATAAATAATGTGTTGTTGAAAAATAAAGAAAAATTATTGATGTGAAAAAAAATATTATTTTGTTGAAAAATGAATGGTTGAAAATGAGTAGAAGAATGAAAATGAAAATTTTAATGTGGCTCAAAACTGGAAAACCCACCTCTTATCGTAGGTTAGCCATCACCTTACCATTGGCCATCGTCATCGCTTCCACCATGAATATGTTCTTTTAGAACCCTCAATTTCACATGTTATTATACCAAATTCAAAAACACATTCCAAACTTTCTACCATTAATTTGTTAGAGAAGGTGGAGTGGCGTCAGAGCCGTGTAAGGCAGTGGCAATGATGGTGGTTTGCAGTGGTGGCGATGCGTGGGTTGAAGACGGTGATTGAGAAATGACAAAAGAGGCGGCACTACTCTGAGAAGCCAAAAGAGCGTCGAGCGGTGGAGCGAGAAATAACAACTAAGGCAAAGACCCCCAAATTTATGCCATGCTATATTCAAAACAACAGTATCATTATTTTGCTTGAGGGTGCGTTTTTAGGGCAATGTGGGACTCCCAGGCTGCAAATTTGATGTCATTAGTTTGCAGGATTGAGGTCGAGAGTAGTCCAGAAAATTGCTTGAAGGCATTAGCGTTGAAGAAGAGGGCTGAGGATGAAACGAGCCTTGGGTGACGATGGTGGCCACTGGCCGACGATGGGTAGGGGCAGCTGGGGTTAGGTTCGAGGAAGAGTCTTTTTCCTCTTTTATTTAATATTTTCATTATTTACAATAGAAAAATGTAAAAATATCATTCTATCCCTTTAAAAATTGTTAAAATATGGTCAAAATTATTTTCTTGGTTACCTTGAATTGATAGCTTCATGAATAGTATAGAGTTGATGGTCGCACAGTCAAAAGTCAAATTAAGGTTGACATGAACAAGCGCCCTGTTTGACAATCATTTTTCTACGTACTCATTTCAATTACATTCACACAGTTAAATATTTTATACGTAAATTCAAAATTTTTCAATACTTTTTAACTACTTTCTTAAAAATCACTATTCAAAACTCTATTTTTCTGTAATTTTATTATTATTATTATTATTATTATTATATATGATTGTCGAACAAGGGCTAATTGGTACCCATTATTTTCGAAATATATTTTTCTCTTATTTTTATTCACATTATTTAATAAAATAATATTATATGAAAATCCAAAAATTTTCTTTATTATTTAACACATTCTCAAATAAAATACTATTCCAAAGTGCATTTTGGACAAATTTTTTTATTTTTTAACCGTATATTCTCCAATAAAATACTAGTTCCCATAGGATGCAATGAGGTAGATGGCCGTGCTTCCTTCGACTGGATAATAGTAGTTTTCTCTACACATGCATTGACATAGGGTTCTTCTTTCTTAAAGGTCATCGTCTCACTAGTTCCTGCAGGATGTAACGAGGCAAATGCACGTTCTTCCTTCAAATGGATAAAAATAGTTTCAAGAAAATGAGAATTGTCACATGCAAAAACTTCGACCACTAAAATGACTCCAGACGCGAACATAATAAATTGAAATTAGACATGTAAGATCTCAACTGGCAATCATCAATTTATGCTTATAACATTTTGATTATGCATGAAATAAAGAGGTTGATATTGTAGCTAAATTTTATATTCTAAGGCCAAATACTTAATAGTGATAAAGAAAACTAACATTAAGCTGTTACCTCTTGTGAATCAGACAACTTGGCTTTATCAGATTCAACTAAAATATTAGTAGCATTCTTTTTCTCCACTTCCTTCAGCGATTCTTCTCGAGTCTCTTCCATTGGCATTGTAATCAAACCCGGTACTAGAACAACAGGAATACCTTCATCGGGAATTAGGCTCACGTCATCTCTCGAGCTCAACAAGTCACTTTCATTGATAGATGAGACATCATTTCCAAGAATCTGCTCTTCCTTTTCTGCATGGGTCAAGTCCATAGGACCAGACACTTCATCGCGTGTATTCAAATCTAGCTCTCCCTTTTCTTCAGTAATATGTTCCACAACCATTTCTGCAGCCTTATCGGTGGACGGGTTCTCCATGAGCCTAAAATAGCCATTTGTACTCACAGTTCCTTCTTTTACATCTGTCCCATCATCTTGTACTGGTTGAATTAAATTCTCAACAACCATCGTTGATTCTGAATCGATCATAGATTCGTCACTTGGATCGTTTATGAGTTCCTCCTGTTCCATAATCATTTGGAGCTCAGGATTGTCCCAATCTTCCAAAACAATTATCATCTTTTCAGTTTCCCATGTTTGAAGAACTCAATCGGCCCCCGGCTGTCACAAGATTTCTTCCGTAACTCCTTTCAGTATGAACGTATACTTAATCACAATGCCACTAGGGAGATCCTGTGAATATATACAGAAACAGAAATGATCAGAATGATTTTTGCCAACATTAAGAATTAGCACCTTCGTTGCAAAATCCTTACCAGCTCGACTGACCATACATGTCCATCGGACCAATTCAATGGTACTGCATCTGATGGATCCCACAAATTGAAAACAGGTTCATCTCCTACAATTAGGAATTGCTGGCCAAATGCACATTCCTTCTGTAATTTGAATCTGACATGGACAGTTTTCGGTTTGTCTGCAGAACAAAAGAAAAATTGACAACAGAATGGAAGCTGCAAAATACATAAAAACCTTTAGTTGAAAAATAACTAAATCGTTGATCTGTGTTTCTTCACTTGCAACTCGTGTCTGCAACCAAAAGAACGTATGCACAATTAAAATTCAATCGACTGAACATAGTTAGCAATTCATTCACCGCAATTCCACATTCCTTCGTCCATTCTTAAATACGTGTCATCTCTAATTATGTGAATTTTTGGCTATTAACCGGAAGCACGCTATTAGATGTTAGCTGTGTCCATAGTTGAAGTCTTGAGAATTTGCAGCAGGAACTAGGTGCAATGAAACTGTTATAACAGCTGATTCGAGAAATAGGAAAAATATTTGTTTCCTCCTGGTTCTCCCCCTTAAGAGGCTTTCTTTTATTTTTGAGTGACAGGAATACTGAAATACATGTAATTAATAACTAGGAAAATAAGAAAGAACCCATAATTCTTTCAAGCAAGATCAGTAGAATATCTGAATACACAAGAACCTCCTTCCCTCTAATGTTAGCTGGTAAATCCAGAAGATACACTTTGAAAAACTAAAATTTAAAAAGAAATCCATAAATAATTATGACAAATAAATCATAAAACTCCAATCCACAGGATCATTTATGCCCTGAAAAATCTTAAATACTAGAGATAATAGATAAAAAAAGGACATGTCTGGTGCATACCTCTGCACAAAACAGTATAATTAACTAGATTTTAACTCATTTTTCTTCGTTAACTCCAAATGACTGTCTTATATACCTTACCCGTCAAAATGGAGGAAAAAAAAAATACTAAAATACAGAAATACTGACCTTGGTGTCTGATTCCGACAGAGCAGCTACTGCAAAAACGGGTTGCAATTTTTTGCGATGATGAGAGATTGATAGTGAGAGCCCAACCAAAAACACGCTTTTGGGCAAAATTTCTTGGGCTAAAAAAAAAACACTTTTCTTTATCTCTGTATATAAATGGACATACAAGAACCTTCAAATGCGAGTCTGATATGGTTTCCATAGCTCAACAGGTACAGAAAAATTTGATTCTCCCAGGAATTAAAGCAAGAATTAAACACGACTGTGAGAGTATGTTTCTTCTTCTTCCTGTTCTTCTTCTTCTTTGTATGATTAAAATGAGAGGACTTTAGTTTAAAATGTCTAGTCAAACCAAACATTTGTTTAGAAGGCCTAAATATTTATAAAATGGATAATACAATTTGTAAATAACTAAAATGTCATTGTATATACGAAAAGACATTATTGTCCTAAATTCCATTTTATTTTTCATTTAACCCTAATTGAATTCCACTTCCATTTCTTACACAAGAATCGACTCTACAAGTATTTATTTTCATTTTCTCTACATAATGAAATAATAAGCTCTACATTCTCATTCCTATGAACACTCATTTTGGTGAAGTGAGGA